AAAGATGGAGAGTTCAAGTGAATCGTTTTAGAAATATAAAACCAAGATGTTATGTCAAGTGACTTGAGTTACGCATAGGCTAGGCTAAAGGATTTATGTTTCCATTTAAAACTATTTGCACTCCTTATATATAAAAAGCTTTTATTAATATATATTTTACATTTGGAATCCGAGTTAACCAAAACAATAAAGACGCTTAAACCATTAACATTTGTGTTCTACAGCCTTCTATTGAAGCAGCATACATTTCATAAGTACTGAAGAAAATCTCCGCCTTGATTCTAAAACACTATAAGGGTCAACCTATTTACTGTACAACGTTATTATTATTCCTAGTATTTTGCATTCGTAATGTAATTATTAGGTCAGACAACGCTGCTGTCGGAATGCAGTTTGACTTTTTCTGGTTCATTTCCATATGCATGCATATACAGTATCTCAGCCTGTGCAAAACATGACTGTGCACTAAAGTAATTATCATCTTTAATTCTTTATTTCTGATGTTATCATAAGCAAAACTTTTTTTTACAAAAATGACATTGAATAGCTTAATCCTGAAACAATTTCCCCTCGGTGCATATTTAGTTTTTAAGATTAAATGGTATCATAAAAATACTGTATATAGACTCCTCTGAAAGACATTTCAGGGTGTTCGTAAATCGTTTTTGCGTGAAATATGTAACCAAGCAGAATTTAAAGATATATGCAGATAGAAATCAAATACCCAGTGATTCTGTATAGACGCGTTTGTTTTAATCTGGTGGTGTGTTTATTAGTCGCGAATACAGGCAGCAGACAGCTATTTTTAAGGTACTGTGTACCTCACATAAGCTTTTAATATTTTCCTCCAGTAAGTGGCGCTGTTTCTGCCGTTCTGCTGTGAAGGCCGCACCTTACCTGAAGGATCTGTTTCTGAGTGGGTGCGCTTGCAGTTCACACTATCGTAATATCGTCCCTGAAATGAGTTTTTAGATGAGGTTTTACGAGAAGATTGATTGATTTGTCCAAGTCTAGACCCCAAAACAGATTTTGCACCCAAATTTTGCTGAATTCTGACAAAAATGTTACTCCATCCTTTTCTGTGTCAGCATTTAAAGCTTACTAGTATTAGTGAAATTTACAGAATAAATCATGTTCCAGTAACGTACATTACTCGTTATCGTCGTTGATTTAATTATGAAGACAGAAAGAGGACGGTAGATTTTTAAAACCTTCCTCACAGTGGTAATACTGTAGTTTTGCTTCCCTGACCGAATATTATCTGATTTCATTAGTAGAGCTTATTTGCATAAAATCACATTTTCTCAATTAGATTCTTGTTTTTTTTAATTCACTCTACCGTATGTATTACGGTAAACGTATGCTACGATGTTGTAGTATTGTTTATTGTTGCGTCTGTTGTTGTTAATTTTTTAAATGTTAAGCTTACTAACAACGTTAATAATAAGAGATCTCCACTTTTCTCCTCTGCATTTTTTGTATCGTCTCTGCCCACCCAGAATTCAGAAGATTCCTGTTCATTAATATTGCGAATATTAGTTGAATATTTGTTGCATCGACGAAAGGAAATTATGAATTTCTCACGATTCTTAGTCTTCTTTCTATCCTGACATTCAAGAAAATAAAAAGATTACGAATGGTGCATCCAGGGTTACAGCTTCGTACTGTCTGAGGGGTCGTCTCTTCTTTTGGTTGTTTCTGTATGTTTACTTCTGCTTCGGTACACCACGTACATGTAATCTATTTGAAACTATGATATACTGTAACAATAACAATAAACGTTCACACAACCTTAACAAGCACACGTCTCAGCTTTGGGTTAATTGCATTAATAATTTTTCTTAGCAATAGCGGGGAAAATTGGCAGTGTCGCTGGCAGAATTATGTATTTTTCATATACATACTAAAATGTACGTTACACGTTTTTCATATTGCATAGTTATTTTTCGATGCATCAACTTTCTTTAAAGGTACGTGTGTCGCCTTAAATGTTCTCACAAATACACACGTTCCACCCGATGAAACGTACAATCCCCTGTTTATCACTCGATTCACCATTAAAAAAAACTGCCAACTTTTCATTTACAGCTTAAAAGTGTTTTGCAAAAAAATAGAACTCCCTTCAATATTTGTCTTTCGGTTGAAGCGTATTTTCTCGACGTTTTCGAATGTTTTAGTTTGTGATGTAATATGGTTTCGGCGTGTAACCATTTCCCGAGCTCGTATGTACTAAAATAAAAGTTTTAAAATACCTGTGGCATTTCAAGTGACAAAATATTATTTTACATTCTGACGTCAGACGACTACAATTTGGGAATTACGATTTTAATGTTCTGGAAACACAATCTCACAACTGTCTGTTTTTTTTTACCAAATGGTGTTGATTTTTCTTCTTTGCCATTCTTATGTATTTTGACAATGTGTCTATTCAAGCTAAAATAAGTGGGCTCAAATGAAATGGTTTGGATTTAAAAAGAGGTGTTTCTCAAAAAACTCGAGTGCTTCTGACGTTTCAAAAGTCGGGGGAATCTGTGGGCCAAGGGGTTGGTTACGGCGGGCGTGTGGTAATGTGGACTTTGCTAATACTCCAGACTTTGCCTGAAAAATAAAGTCTTAAACAACAACGTTTTCATACAATTAATACATCAGTCAGCGCTGCGCCTAAAGCTGGTTTATTCCTCTCCTCACATTCCAATATCCCATTAATCCCGCAAAAAATCCCTTTATTCAATATAACCTTCGTTTAAATTGGTTTAGCTGTCTCATTACATCACACCCTCCATGGTGATTATCTGCGAAGCTCGCGCTGAATTCGGGGGAAAGGGCCGCTTGTCGTCGAGTTCGGTGCCGACTGAGGTGAGGCGACTTCCTCGCGCTGGCACGTGCGAGTGGACGTCTCCAGAAGGAGGAAATGTGTTGTTGGGTTTTTTTTTTCCAGTTCAGATTCGTGCAAGGGCGTCTATAGGACGTTAGAGTCCCCAATTCTCCCTCAATGTACAATTTCAAAATATTGCACTTGTAGTATTACAAACAGTGCTCAGTAACTCTTTTATTTGATTCATAAGATAAAGCAATACTTGGAAACCGCAGACGGTGATAACGTGAACTGGTATTTTATTGTTATGTATATAAACACACGGAAACATATGTTGTAATGTGCCCTGTACGTTTTTACCTATGAGAAAATTAAGACTTGTTTTATGTGTGAATGTTCCACGCTTTTAATGTGTATACTGCAACTTTGAGCACGAAGCTCGCCTAGATATTCAAATACACATTATTCTGTATTTTCTCTTGTTTTCAAATTTCATAGAATGACTGTACCTTTTAGAGGGATATGTAGGTGAAACTATTTCAAGTGAGTTTATGTTACTGGGCTGTTTACTCTGCAATACTCGTCGTCAACTAGAAATAATAGTCTGCAGCAACTGTACACTGAATCTGATCATCGGCTTTGCTTAAAAACAGACTGCGTACTCGTGCACGTTCCGAATACATGTCGTTTTTATTAACACTTGAAAAGACTCTTCTCATTAAAAATGAGCTCAGGCTGCGATGCGCTGTTTTATTACAGCCCACGACGAAAATGCGCAGACGTAACCGACGACACCGTTTTACTAATATGTAACACTGTTTAATTTGGAAATGGCACTTAATTCATTTTTTAAGTTCGGAAATGTGTAAAAAACACAGAGGATTCTCTTCAACGTCATTTGTGCCATTAAAATATTGCACGATTAAATGTACCATATGACTTCCTGGTATGTGTTAGTAAACTGGGCGTGGCGGTGCTTTGATCAAATGCAGCTTTTTGTGCTCTTAATAATTTTAATAATGCGACTGAAGGGGCAGTTAACCGAAGGGACAGCAAATGATAGTCTTATAACATACACAGGTCGTGCAAATCTTTCTGTAATGTTAGATATTTCAGTTCAGTCCAAAATTGTTTGCTGCATTATCAAAGGTAAAACTTTTTGCATAAGACCAGATGCTTCCGCCTTGATTTTAAAGACAGTATTCAATAAAACCAGTAACAGCCTGCAAAGCTGATTGTTAAAAACATGTTTTTAAATGCGTGTTATGTCTCAGTTGAAAAACCTGGTTCACGTGGAGTATGGGTTTTGGGGTTGAGTCCATTAACAAGGTGCAATGTAACTTCGATCAGCATCACAATGATGAGAATTCCATCCCGATCCCACGCAAAAGACACGCATTGCAGAAACCACAAACTGCAAACCGGGAAGAACGTTCTTCTTGTCGGTCAGCCCCGAAACCCTGTATCTTATATGCACAGCAGATACAGAGGATACATGTTGTACACTCCATCTTAGCACTGTCAAAAATGTATCATCCACCAGGAACTCTATCTATAACGCTCTTCCAATTTGAACAACGTTCGATCACAATATGAGCCAATCTGTAATTATCATATAATAAATGTTGGAGACAATAGCTTCTAAACACCAAACAGAAATCACTAACAGGTCACATTACACCCTATAAAGTAGTTGATTAGCATTTCATACGGGCACTGCACTGCAAACAAAATGCATCACTTCACCCATTTGTTTTCGGGGCTTATACACTTACTGGCATTAGGTGTGTGCTTCAAAACACGGTTTACAAATGTAAAACTTCATAAAGCGGCAATCGTCTCTTTACTTAATCGGCAACGCAAATCTGACTACCAAATCTCTCTGGATCGGACCAGATGGGCTAGGCAATATTCCCTTCAGAATCTAGCACATGAAAAATTAGGTACATGCATATGCCTAAATAATTAAAAAACGTAAAACTGGAGCAAACGTTCTAAATCAGTCAGACGTGTGCAGCGACGTGTGTTTTGGCTTTTTCTATATGATTTAAATATAAACCATTTTAATTTTTGGACGCAGTGCAGACCAGTAAAAAAATACGTTTAGAGAATAAAAACAGCACCATCGACATTAGAAAGATTATTCACAAGCATCTTCAGTCATACACACCTTTCAGAACTGTAATAAAATATGGATCTGGATAACCTATCCTGGTCTCTGACGTCAGGACGTAATGGCTCACGTAGTAAAATGTGGAGAGGTCGGTCGGTCTAATACTATTTTAACGTCTCCCGAGTTGATGACGGGATCTGGGAGCCGCGATTCGAGGGTGAGTCGAGATGTGGAACAACCTCACGTTACCAGCGAAGAGGATCCGCGATTTTAATGAGAACAAAAATCCCACTCCGGCACGGTATCGCGTTGGAAATGAGCAGAGACGTATCTGCTTAACCCCACGCAAGACAACGTGACCCAAAACCTAGTTTGCAATACCCGTCTCGCAGTTGCTCTCTCGACCACAGACGCGTCTGAACTGTGTTCCCGGCACCTTGCTTCGGATTCAGGGGGGGGGCAGGAATTCTTCAGTTTTTTACCATGTTTCGCTCTATTCTCTCTCTTTTGATTTCCGTATCCCCCCCCCCACACACACACCCCACCCCCACTGCGCTTGAGGCTTGAGCCGCATTACTGTAAAGGCAAACCGACAGCTCCGCTCGGTGATCTGCTGGTGCCCCGTGTCTCCATCGCTCCGGAGAGGAGTTCGCGCGAGTGCCACTCGCGTCGGGAGGGATGCAGAGGTTTGGGAAGAGTCTCGCCCCTTCTCCGTCCTCGCGACGGCGCTGCACCGGGGCACGGACGGTCCCCAGCGCGAGTCCCCCGGAGCGGGTGCGCCGCGCCTGCAGAAACACCGGCGTTTCGCGCAACGCAGAGCTGTAAAAGTTCAGGCGAGGACCGGAGGAGGAGAGGAGATCCAGCTGCCCATTGACTGTTATTTTGCGAAAATATATATTTTTTTTTTTTTAAAAAAGCGGCGAGCCGAGCAGGAGGGGGAAGGAAAGTTTGGATGTGTTTTCTGAAATAAAACAAAAAGAAAATCTTTAAAAATCCGGGAGAGGGCTGTTCGGGGGGAAGGGGTTTTTACCGTAACTGGCAATGTGTGTTAAGCAAAGATACAAGACTCTATAGGTGAAAGCGTTCATATTTGCGTGTTGAATGATTTTTTTTTTGCAAATGGGGGCTGGTCCCGAATGCGTTTTTTTTTCCCGTCTTGCGAGAAATAATAGGTTTCAACCCCCCCCTGCCTCTCACCCACCCCCTCTTTTTAACCTTGTTTATGCCGTCCAAAACGCCTGGAAAAAAAAAAGAGATACAAGGCGTAACTAAAAAAAAAAAGATCACGCAGAGTTGGAACAATAGACACCAATTCACAATGGACAATGAATTGGAGAGCCGAAACTGTTTGGGTTTCTGCGCACGTTTGCTACAGCCTGGCCAGCGAGAGGAGTAACAACGGACTTCCATAGACTCCGGTCTCCGGGTCTGTGAGAAAATTCGGGCTGGTGGGGACGCGAACGGCACCGCGGCGAAACGGTCGTGGCTCGTCAACTTTATCTCGACTCAGCTCACGCGGGCTCAAGTGATCGCGGCGTTTGAGTGAAATGCCCTGGGCGGCGTGGAACCGAAGAACTCGGCTTCTTTCAAAGTAGTGCCTCTCCGAAAGAGAAGGTCCGCTTTTTGGTTTTGTTTCCCCCCTCCCCGCTTTTTACCGGCTTCCTCGTCTCTGATTCACTTTCGGTTTGTTTTACAGGTCTCGGTTCTTTGTCGTATTTTTATAAATCGTTTTCGCTATTTTTTTTTTTTAAACCTTGTTGCCGAAGCAGGACTCCGGGTGCCTTACCATTCTGGATTATCTCAAAAAGGCCTCGCCGTGTAAGTACCAAAACTGTTTGAATGATTAATTCTAGAAACATTAGCAACCTGACAGCCTTGTGTAATTTTCGTATTGAAGGGGAGGTGTTTTAAAATCTAAATCAGTTTCAAAAGCGCAAAAAAGTTAGGTGTACTAGCCTTTGTGCATGTGGATACTGAAATATGTTCGTGCAAAAAAAAAAACCTTCCAGCTGCGTTAAAAATTGTTTTAATGCAAACGGCTCAAAACATACATGCAAACAGTCTGTATGTCAGTCTTTTGTCTTTATTACTTATTATTGGTTGCCAAAAGGTCTTTTGTATGAGGGTGCGTTGGTTAACGTACCTTACACTAAGCTTCATTCTGCATTCTGTTAAGTAATTATAAGGCGAACTTAGTGGCCTCTGTGCTGGCGTTTGAGGCAAACAGTTGTCCGATTGTTGTAAGAGCCTGGGAAAATGTTTCAGGGTCTGGGACTCGGAGTGTCTTGACGCCAGACCTTCTTGTTAAGAAGACTTCTGTGCTCCCAGACGTTATTGTCATGTTAATGAGCGCCTGCACGTTGTTGAACTTGATGTTGACTTCTCTCTTTGGGGGCTGCTTTTCTCGGTCACTTGTTTGTGGGAAAATCTTCTCTCGGGCTACAGTGTGAAATTAATTAATCAGGCCCCCTTTTGGAACGGGCAACAAAGGAGTCGAGGGGATCTGGGCAGCGCACAAAAGATTCAGACTTTTTCCCTCTTTAAATAAACTTGATTAGAGCGAGCGAGACAGC